TAAGAAAACGACTAAGCCTAAAAATGAGAATAAGAATGAAAACAAGAATAAAACTAAGACCAAAAATAAGAATGAAAATGAAACTAAGAAAAAAAAAAACAAAAAAAAAACAATAAGAATATGAATAAGAATAAGAATGAGCAGAAAAACAGGGATCAGATGAAGCGCCGATCACCCCCCTTGGTATCAGCTGGCATCAGGCACACACTTCATATCCTGCAGGTCCTTAGAGAGTCCTACAGCCGAGACACTAACCAGGACGACGACGTGGGCGATCCTCCTTCGTCATGGAACACCCCCCTCCCCCACTCTTCCCCCATGACAGGTCAGCAGGACGCGGGGGAGGGAGGGAAAGGGGGTGGGTAGGACGTGGGGGACGAGGTGCAGGTAAGTAAAGGAAGCGGGGATATATCTTTGAGATTTGTCGTTTTGATTTGTTTGTCTTTTGATTTTTTTGTCTGTTTGTTTGTTTGTTTGTTTGTTTGTGTGTCTGTTTTTTCGCTGTGTCTGGTTGTCTGTCTACTGGTCTCTTTCTCTCTCTCTCTTTCTCTTTCTCTCTCTCTCTCTCTCTCTCTCTCTCTTTCTCTTTTTTACTTTCCTATCCTCATCCCCCTTTCTACCTTCCTCGTTCCAGCCTTCCTTCCCTCTCCCTACCTTCCCCCTCTCCCTTCCTCTTCTTCTTCATACCACACTCCTTCCCCCCCCCTTCCCCCTCCCCCAAACTTCCCTCTCCCTTTCTTCTCCTTTCCCTCTCCCCATCCTCTTATTCCCCCTACCCCCTTATCTCTCTCCCCCTTTCCTCCTCTTTCCCCCCCCTTCCCCCTCCTCCCCCCTCCCCTTCCCTTCTCAGTCCCCCCCCTCCTAACCCCTCTCTTCCCCTCCCCTCCTAACCCCCCTCCCCCCCCCTCCCCTTCCCCTTCCACCTCCCCCTCCCCTACGTCCCAACCTCCCTCTCCCCCCCCACGCACCCAGCCCGTTTGTATGCCGATAACGGTAGCGATTATCGGCAATTTATTAGGTACAAATCGGAACTTCAAAAGCGGTTGCATTGCCATTAGAACAATCGTTATCAAGATCCGACGCCAATTTTAAGGGACGGCTGTTTGGGCCGAAACAAGGGGCGGTCTTTTAGTTCTGTGGAAGGGGGGGTGGGGGGAGTGGGGGTTGGGGTGTGGGGTGTGGGGGGATGGGGGGATGGGGGGATGGGGGATGAGTAGGGGAGGGGGGGGAAAGGGAGGAGTGTGGGAGGGGGGGAGTGTGGGAGGGGGGGGGAAGGGAGGAGTGTGGGAGGGGGGAAAGGGAGGAGTGTGGGAGGGGGGGGGAAGGGATGATTGTGTGTGTGTGGGAGGGGGTGTTGAGGGAAGGTGAGAGGGGGGGGGAGGAAAAGGAACTGAAAGAGGGATGAGGGAAGTGGGGGGTAGGGGATGAGGGGGGAGAGGGAGAGGTGAGGGAGAGAGAAGGAAATGAGGGGTGAGGGGGAAGACGAGGGATGATGGTGAGGGGTGAGGGTGGAAAATGAGGGAAGAGGAAATTGGATGAGGGGGGGGAGAGGGAGGTAAGGGAAGGTGAGATAAATGAGTGTGAGGGGAGAGAGATGGGGAAATGAGGGGGGGAGGTAGAGATAAGAGGCGAGGGAGAAGGATGAAAGGGAAGGGTGAAAGATGAGGGGAAAATATGAGAGAGAGAGGGGGGGGGAGGGATGAGGGGAAGGGATGAAAGTGAGGGGAAGAAGTAGGAGTGAGGGGTAAGTGTGAGGGGTGAAAGGGAGGGGAGAGAGGAAGGGGGGAGAGGAAGGGGGGAGAGGGAAGGGTGAAAGGGAAGGGTGAGAGGGGGGGAGAGGGAGCGGGGGAGAGGGAGGGGTGAGAGGGAGGGGGGAAATGTGAGGGGTGAGAGGGAGGGGTGATAGGGGGGGGGGAGAGGGAGAGGGGAGAGGAATAAGGTGAAGGAAAACTGGAGAGAATGAAAGGGAAATGGGACATGCGATAGAAGGGGAAGAGGGAAGCGAGCAAAAGAGGGGAGATAGAGGGGACAGGGCCATTATAGCGTGAATAACCATAAAAGACAATTGGATAGGAAGGTACAACTAGATGCACACACACACACACACACACACACACACACACACACACACACACACACACACAAACACACACACACACACACACACACAAACACACACATACACACACACACACACACACACACACACACAAGCACACACACACACACACACACACATACACACACACACACACACACACACACACACACACACATACACCAAGTCACACACTCACACATAAACGCATATGAACACGCACACATATATATTTCTAACATATAATAGACAAAATAAGCATAAGAGACTTGCAACCCAATAACAATATTATATTAAATAATTATAAATATATATATATATAATATATTATATATATATATAATTATATATATATATATATATAATATAATATAAAATAAAAAAGAAAAAGGGAGGAAGAGA